AGCTTGGGAATTAAGTAAATTAAATTAAACTAAACTTTAGAATGCAGTTTATACCTAAAATTAAGAATTAAGGATTTTCTGAAATTAGCGAGCTCTTCACGTAATCACAAATGACAGAAAGGAACATGGAAATAAACAAAAACCAGCTAGAGTGACAACAAACATATTGACATTCAGCAGATCTCCTTAATTTTTAATTCTTAGTTGAAAGTTAGCCAACTTTTAATTTAATTTAGTTTAATTTAATTTTTTAATTTGAGTTTAGTTTAATTCTCAATTTAGTTTAATTCTTAATTCAGAAGTATAAACCAGGCATTATACTACCAAAATTAAGAATTGAACTAAACTAAGATATAAATTGAAAATTAAATTAAACTAAACTTTAAAAATGCAGTTTATACCTGAAATTAAGAATTATGGATTTTCTGAAATTAGCTAGCTCTTTACGTAATCACAAATGACAGAAAGGAACATGGAAATAAAAAAAACCAGCTAGAGTGACAACAAACATATTGACATTCAGCAGATCTCCTTAATTCTTAATTCTTAGTTGAAAGTTAAGGAACATTGAAATAAACAAAAACCAGCTAAATAGATCGATCTCCTGAATTTTTAATTCTTAGTTGAAAGTTAGCCAACTTTCAATTTAATTTAATTAAATTTAATTTTTTAATTTGAGGTATAAACGACAGCATCAAATTATGGATGTTTAACATTTAAATTTTTAATTTAGTTTAATTCTAAATTTAGTTTAATTCTTAATTTTAGGTATAAACTACATTTTTAAAGTTTAGTTTAATTTAATTTTCAATTTATTTCTTAGTTTAGTTTAATTCTTAATTTTGGAAGTATAAACCAGTCATAAACCAGGCATGATAGTTTGCGACGTAGTTGCAAGGCGCAAATATGTTGCTTATGTAAATACAATAAGCGTTCTCTTTGTGCAATAGCGTCATCTCGTGAGTACAGATAAATCCACAGGTCTCTTTTTTTTCCTTCCTCCTTGTAACCCCTGCAGCAAATAATATAATATGTATTGTCTCCTTCTGATGACATCACATCTTAGAGGCGACTGTGTTAATATATCCTTACCAACAGAGGGTTGCTGATAAATGGGGTTACACTTTGATATGTAAACCTGGAAGATGCAAATTCCTGCATGCTTCTCGGCAGCATGTCGCATTTCGCATGCTACTTTGGCGTGAATGCCCACTCAGATCTTACAGTGACTTTGGAGACGTGTTGAGAAAACCAAGATCAGCCAGTTTGTTTGGGAGCAAACCGGAGTGTATGATGTTGAGGAGAAAGACGATTAACCACTGCTAGAGATGGGAGATTTATAATACTGCAATAACAGTATGATGGGATACTTTTGGTCGTGACACCATCTAAGACTGGAATGCAGCACTAAACAACATTTTGCTGTATTAACACTGATCGTCAATGGGCTAAGAACTACTAGACAGAGATAGAGCAGCATCTCAAATAAGAAACAAGGTCGAAGAAGTATATGGAACAAGAACAGGACATTTGAAAAAGGTTGAAAGAACTGTTTTGAAGGCTTTCAAATCGACAAAAGCCCCAGATTTTCATCGACGTCATTCAGTGGTGAGAATAGACTTTCCCAGAGAGTTGGGGAAATGTTCTGTTCACAGACGGGAGCAACACTTTTATGTATTTACATTATAATAGATTTTCTTCAAATATATCACGCATCAAATCAAAATCTTTATTTATTAACAAACATTAAAAAAAAAAAATTCGCTGAATATATCGTCTATAGTTTTTTAAATTCTACTAAGGTATAGCACCTAACCCCATCTGGCAGTTCATTGTATAATTTTGGACCCTCTCAAAGAATAAGTTATTTTGACTGAATTCGCATTGTCATTACTTATGTAAAAGTTGTCCCTTGATTGATACACGTAGAGACCTACCGACAATGCTAATTCAAGAGTTTTAGTTCGCAGACATAGAGACAAGAGCTTGGTGGTAGCCCCGAAACAATTTATATGCGACGTTGCCATTTTTGGCATTTTCATGTTTGGACTGGAATCAGCGCCGCGCCACGCCACGCCTCCGCAGTTGTTTATTATTATTATCCCGGCTTTCAGTGTTTTGAGTGGACACAGAATATAATAATCTTTCATAATTTGATTATACTGCTTATGATTGAATGAATTGAAAGTTGAAACTACAAATTTTGTATTTTGAAGCACTAGTGCAGGCAGCTGCCTTTTGGTTCTTTGGTTGGAGTGGAACTGGAAACTCGTTTGTTCTCCTCTACAGGGCGGAATTTTTTTTTCAAATCAAATTCGGAAAACAATATTTATTTTTGCAAGTGCGGGAAATACCATAGCCGCTTTCCAGTATGCACATTGGCGCGCTCTAGAGCATTCCGGGAGCGCCACGCACTAGATTTGTACCGTTCCAGTATCATGACGCATGACGTTTGTCCGTACGTATAGCTCGGGAGCTCAACGCTCCGGGTAGCTCCGAGTGTCACACTCCCGTACTGGAAAGCGGCTATTTTCTCGCAAGTGTTAAGCCTAGGACTCATAACAGCGAAATTCGCTCTTTTTTAACATTCCTTCGACAATTTGACGTTCTATGCGTGAATCAAACGTCAAATTGTCGAAGCAATGTCAAAAAAGAGCGAATTTCGCGGTTATGAGTACTAGGCTTAAGTAACACAATTTTTCTCAAGGGTGTGCGGAAAGATTACTCTGTGCATGCCAAAAGTTTTTTTTCCGCACATTCGTCGGAAAAAAACGGATCATCTTAGTTTCAGGTTTCAGGTCTCTAGAAAATGGCAGAGATTATCCTGTTTTCAATCCCTAGTAGGACTGCTTATTGAGCTAAAAGTCTCTACACTGCTATGTCAGCTGCATACCTCAACTTTTGGAGTGAAATTCCTAAACGTTAAAATCTTGTTGCAATAACCTTTTCTATATTTAAAACATTTAAAATCGACGAAAAAATCAAATAATGAGCACAGCCTGAATCGCAAGCCTTCGATCGAGGTCTGCGGGTGACGTCATCACTATTAGCATCTGTGGCGACGTCACTCGCAGACCCTGCCTGCTCAAGAATTGTTGAACCTACGCCTTATTAGAAAGAGCAATCCTGTTTACGATTGTTGTATAAAAATGTCGAAAATTCCAACAAAATCCAGAGGCGTTTTCTCGCGTCTCAAATGTTTCAAAACATTTTTCAAAACTGGTTTAAGTAATGTCACCATGACGTCATAATTTCTCGGCGTGAGAAAATGGTTTGAAAATGTGGATTGGATTATATTTCGAAACGGTTTGAACCAAATTTGACGTGACGTCATAGGTTTATCGTGAGAATGTACTGTTTGAAAACAGTTTTGAACCAGTTTCAAAAAAGTGGACGCGAGAAAACGCCTCACTCTTTCATTGCACAAACAAACTAGCATCTGCAAAAAGTTTCTTTCTGACGATTGAAAAATAAATAATTCTCGTCAAAAATAATTTTCTGTAACTTGAAAACATTACCTACATATTTTAAAAACTGCTGATTGCATCACTCGTTAAACAATAAACATTGTCCGCACATGTTAGGAAAATCTAACCCAAACAAAATAATATACTTTGACGTCAATTTGGCAACGCAGTGACATAGAGGGTGTCCCAAAAACTATGCGTCACTAACATGAAATGTGTTTAGGAACCCATTTCAAATTTCGCGCCCGATTTTTCCTAGCCTAACTAACATGGTGAATTCAAATTGACAATAAAAAACCTATAGCTGTTTTTTCGCGTCCACTTTTTTCAAAACAGGTTTGAAACAGGCAATGGTGTTTCCATTGACTGTTTCAAAACGGTTTCGAACAAAAGTCAAAAAAGTGGACACGAGAAAACGACTTGTTGAAATGCCAGATTTGACAATAAATGCAATTTTCTGCATACAGTTTTTTATATATACATCGATTTGGTTCCCGGTAGGACACCCTGTATATTCTCCCCCTTTATATTCTCTTCTTTCTTATGCTTCTAATATTTTTGGTTTTTAAACTTATTACAAATAATAATGGCTTCATGAACTAAAGGCACTACCTTAGTCCCGGAAGAACTATTGTCACCAAAATTTGAATAAAAATAATCAATTAAATTACTTGAGGTATTAGTTATACGAGTTGGATCCTCCACCAATTTACGTTATCTTTGTCTTTAACTGCCTCCTATATTCCATCATCTTAAGTACGCCATCCAATTCCTTTTTCAGAGCGTAGATGTTTATCAAAATTATCTGGAAACATCACGGTTAAGATATTTCATTGTCCACATAAATTCGAATCTCTTCACATTAATTTGAAAAACTTCCCGCATGAGTTTCTATTATTAGCATACAGAGAACAAACGGCATATTATTTATAATGTCCTTGACTCGGTATCTGACGCAAGAGTTCAAAACGCAATCAGAGACCTACTTAATGCAAGGACTTCTCATCATGTGGCACGGACTATTCCTGACAAGATTACCGCTAAACGAAGGATCAAATCTAAGCCGGCACTTCAAGCACAGGTCTCCGAATATATGTATTAAATAATTTTTGGAGTCGAGCAAGCTCTAAAAGCAGATTTAGGTTTCCGCACAACTTTGTTTGGTGGATGACGAAGAGGCGGGAGTTTCGAATAATAGTTTTCCGGTCTCGGGATTTTACATGCTATTGCATCGGTCCGGTGCATTAATGCACTATGCGAAATTGGAATACGAGATTGCGAACTATGTTAATCGCCCAAAAAACATTTCGTATGGCAGAAGTCCTCGGGCTAGTTTTATCTACTTGACTCTCTTGAACCTTCATATAGTTCGAAAACTTTCGTGTTTAATTTATAACAGAACTATTTCGTACTTTTCAAAAATGTTTGTTTTATTTTGTGGAGAACGACTTCAGCTACTTCATTTTGATTACACATTCACTCCACAGCTAAATATGAACTCTAACACCAATTAAAAAAAAATATTTCTTCCAGATGGTCCCAAGGTCTCCTTTTCCACCAAGGAGCCGTCGACTGCGCCCGCGCCGCTCTCCTACTGCCCCTGGGTACCTCCATACTGCACTGCCAACCAGTACACAAATGTTCCTTGGTAGAAACGGCATTTCTACTATTGGTCACGGTAGCGACTGTCAATATGCTCACGACTGTACTAAATGATTCTCCCATATTTCCTGACGACGAAGATGCCGACCGGATGATATCAGAAGCGCCGTTACTCATGGACTCTCCGCAGTGCGTGTTGTTTGGTACCTCGATGATTTGGTTCGCTTCGATTACCATTAATTTGGGACCAACGTTTTTATCAGGTGGGTGTCTTTCGTTCCAGGAAATTCTTATAACCCGAATTTATAAACTCAAGATCGGACAGGTGAATGCCAATAAGTGTAAGATGAATGAAACTGAATCTGCCTAAAAGTGGAATCCACAAAAACAAAGCAATAAAGCAAAACTCTATACAAATCGAATGTTCCTACTATCTGGATTTGTTGAGGCTGAAGATAATTATGTTTTGTGTTTGTGGCGCGGATGAAGCTTTATATAACTAATGTGCCAAATTCTAAACAAAATAAAAGTTTCTCAAGAGCAACATCCAAACAAAGCATCTGATTAAACACTTTAAAATATCATAAAACTTTCATAAACAAAACAAAAACTAATTTGAACTTCTTTGTTATCGTCTCGAAAGTTTTCTGATTTATACCATGCAGGCGAGTTGCCAAACTAAACAAACACTGACTTCAAACATTTTCATTTAATTGACAAAATAAATTAACAAAGTTTCCTAATGGCTTGTCACTATATTCGATCAAATTGTTTCAACTATTTATTGGAGCTATATTGAAATAAATAATTCTGAATGTAGCAGAGAGCCGAGGGAAAATCCACAATGTCATCTAGAGAATATATACAGGCATAATATTTTGATTATTATATAAAATAAAGGGTGAACCATCCAGCACCAGAGCATTTGATAATTTTACATTAAATTATCTTTATTGCAAAACTTTATGCCGATTTAAACTATGCTGTGTACTTCGAGATACCAAAGTTTTGATTTATCATAGAGGACTGGTTTAATTTAACAGTTTTCGAATTGATTTAAGAGAGCTTGGGTTAGTTTAAGCGGTAATTTATAGAAAAACAGAGATTAATGTCAAAATGAAAATTAATTAAAATCTCACATAAGATTTGTATTTTTTCCAGGTGCTTTAGCTGCTCAAGGCGAAGCCGGTCACAAGCATCCATCCTGTCCATTAATCTACGGCCCATTAAGACACTACATCCTGAACGCCCTGTGGATAGCTGTAAATCTAGTGTGTGTATCGCTTACGTTATTTCACTTAAGAAAATTACATAGAGACTTAACTAAAGCCAACGTAGAAGCTGTAAGAGTAGCGGGATTGGTGACGACGCTAGTGAACGTCACCGGTGGGTCCAATCAGATGAATTCGATTAATCACAGGGTAAGTGCGAAAATAAATAATCAGTAATTACACGAGATTGGCCAAAGTTATGGCATCATTAATGAAAAGAGTTTTCAAACCCTGTAACTTAAACATTTATAAATCTCTTAAATGAACATGGGACACACCTATCTGAGAAAATGTACCTCTAGGACCGATTATCAACTCGCGAATTGAAAAGACGTAGGGGACTCCCTTAACTTCTTTGTCTGTTCGCTACTACTCTATAGCAGCCTCACTATAGATTTCAGGGAAAATGGCTTAACCGTAGTAGTTTGAGTGAGACAACGATGATAGTTGAATACTGATTTTATTAGGTAAAAATATCACAATTTATATTAATCTAAGTCAAAATAATTTTAATAATAATTTGTCATAATTTTAATTCTCTAACCTTGTTACGACATGAACCTATTATGTTCCGGAATAATATGAGGTCGAGACTTTTGGTGACCTGACACGCTTGACCGTGAATATTTTATTATATTATTTCTATTGAACAATTGTTTTTAAATAAGGAAATTCCAGGCAGTTAATTAATCTTTTTTTCTTATGTGCATCAAATGGCCAAAATTACCAGAAATGCTTCTGGGCACATGGCAACTAGACACGAATAATACCTGCAATAGATCAGGCTACCATGGTAAAAAAAAACTTTGCAAATAGCAACATACATATCAAACTAAAATACTAGACACGTAGGGAATAATAGTAGTAAGGTCATTTATTAGCTTGTACCCGATTAAGGAGAACTGAGGCGATGCTGCTGGAGGAGTAGGTATAGCCAAGCTGTCAAAGATGCACGAATTTCTATACATGCATCAGGGATGATCAATGATCTACTAAGGGATATGCGAGGAAATTTCATTTTCAAATATTTCAAAGGGCCATATATTGAAAACCAGAAAAGCAGTCACCACGAAATTTCGTCTAGTTGTAGATCTCAATCAGGGCTTTAGGAAAGGTTAATTCGGGCACCAAGCCCTATACTATATCCATGGAACCAAAAAAGCGGGCCAAAACACTTTCCGTGCGTGATCGAAGCATGATCGGCACGTGGCTTTGCATCTATTGGGCTAAAATAAACAAACCCCTCACGCTGGCCAATCGGATTTACCTGCAATCTGTAGGGGACTTCCAAGGTAGGGGAACTTATTGCTTTTGGCCTAATCGTTACAGGGTCGGAATGGTCATTTACGTTTTAACGATCGGTGGTGTTACATTTTACGGGATATTTAGTAGTGATTTTTTTTATTAGTTTTAAAGTTTTAAATTATTAAAATGTCGGATGAAGAAGCTGCTAATATGTGTTTCAACACTCCACCTCAAAAGAGACCAAAAAAAGTGCCTTTCAATGGTAATGAAAAAAATTTAATTATGAACATTTACAAAAATGAAGTCGAAGCAAATCCCGAATTGTTAGTTGATGAAATCGTGCGAAAAGTAGGAAACATTGCTGGAGTGTCTCCAAGTGGTGTTTATGCCGTTATGAGAGAATCTAAACAAAAGCAATTATTTTCGGATTCAAAGCCATACCCCTTACGAAAGAAAATTATTGACAAGGTAGACGATTTTGATAAAAACGCTATCAGAAGGAAAGTACATCAATTTTTTTTCCGGAACCAAATGCCAACAATAGATTCAATTCTCAAAGATGTAAATGATGATCCTGATCTACCAGATTTCAAAAGGTCGACATTCCACAAGTTGTTGAAAGAATTAAGTTTTAAATTTAAAAAAAGAGGGAGAAATAGTTTGTTGCTCGAGAAACCAGAAATTGTATTGTGGAGACGAGATTATTTAACGAAAATACGGGCCTATAGAAGAGAAAATAGGAAAATTTACTACCTGGATGAAACGTGGGTGAACGCAGGCCACACTAAGTCTAAAATTTGGGTTGATGAATCCGTAGGTTCTTCAAGGCAAGCCTTCTTAGATGGCCTCTCAACTGGGTTAAAGAACCCATCAGGTAAGACCTTATTAAACTCTTAACCTTAACGTGTGTGTCTGTGAACAAGATAATTTGCATTTGGATTAGGTATTGATTTAAAATCTGGTATAGTCTATTTCATTGCTGTTGATAGCAAAAATCGAGGATTAGGGCCATAAAGTAATTGTATTCTACTTGGTTTACAATAACTTTATGGCCTAAACCTCGATTTGTAGGTACCAATACCTATTAGTAAGCGATGGTCAAAAAGGGTCTAAAATTACTTGTTAGCTATGAAAAATAGACCCACAGTATGTATCTACCTGTGTATTTTCCAAGAAAGTTTATTATTAATTATTTTCTGTATTCATTAAAATCGTAGAGAATTGGAAGGGTTTCATCTTACCGTTCGATCAATTAGTTAAAATTCAGGTAACAACGAAAATGTGTTGGTATAGTATGAAATTTTAAGTATGTCTTTGGTAACTGGTTTTCGATTATTTGTGTTTGGTTGGACACGATTAAATCAAAAAATTTTTTTGTCTGCCTCGCAGCACATTTTATTCAGGAAATAGTCCAAAAAATATGTTTTATGCATGTAAATATTCTGTTTCAACTAAAACAAAATAAATCTTGTTTCAGGAAAAGGAAAAAGGTTGATAGTGTGTCACATAGGAAGCGAAACCGGGTTTGTACCCGACGCCTTGTGGGCCTTTGAGTCGAAGAAAACGGGCGACTATCATGAGGAAATGGACGGCAAATCGTTTGAAAATTGGTTTACCAACATAATTCCAAACCTAGAAGAAAATTGTGTAATTGTTTTAGACAACGCCCCATACCATTCAAGAAAAGCTGAACAAATTCCAACTACAGCCACAAAAAAAGCCCTAATTCAAGACTGGTTGCGTTCGAAAAGTATACCATTCGAGGATAGCATGATAAAAGTACAACTTTTGCAGAAAGTGAAGGAACATAAAACCAAATATAATAAATACATTGTCGACGAAATTGCTAAAGCACATAATAGAGTAGTATTACGTCTTCCCCCTTATCACTGCGAGCTCAACCCAATAGAGCTTATTTGGGCGGACATAAAAAACTATGTTGCAAACAAAAATGTTACTTTTAAATTTTGCGATCTTAAAAATATTTTCAGTGAAGCTGTTTTGTCTATCACTGCTGAAAAATGGAATAATTGCGTAGGACATGTAAAAGATAAGGTAGAAGTGAAAATGTTAGAATTAGATCACATAGTTGATGAATTAGTTGATAGAAATCCGATAATAATTAATCCTAATGAATCTTCTAGCAGTTCTTCGGATTCTGAGTAACTGGACTAAAATGACAAAAGTATTTATTATTTTATCATTATTTTTTATTATTTTTGCGCTAGTATTAAATAAACATAATTTTGAAATCGAAAACTGTTAACCCGTTTGTCAATTGTCCTCCTAAAATAGAAATGTCCCCATTTTTTTGTACTTCATTAAATGTTATATGTATATACAAAATGGTTTTTGTTTTTCTTTATTAGTTAACCTTTGAGTAATTTTTCCATACCTAGTCGCATATTAGGTATTTAATAAAATTTGATAAAACTTCGATGGTCCCTAAGTGCGAGTGCGACTCTGTACAAGCACATCTGCCCAGGCCTCGCCTGAGGGATCACGTGCACTATGCATGACAATGTTTTGGTGCACTCCGTAGCTTCGTTGGATTTAGTTTAGGGCTTCGTTTAAGAGAAAATTGTGACGATCCTGTAGTGGAATCAGTCAACTGGACCCATTAAAGGGGGTGTGCGCCAAAAATTAAAGTTTTAGTGTAAAAAACTCTAAGAATAACTGTTCAAACCTCGTTATTCTACGATAAACCATCGCTGAGATATACCGCTTAAAGTGTGGACGACGCTCTCGTGACGTCACGAAAACTTCGTCCAGCGGCGCTCTGCATTGTTAATTATATTAAAGACTGTGTCTAGTAGCCAGCCTGGTCCTGTCTGTATAATACGAGAAGACAGGAAAGAAGAGTTTCAATTGGTGTTTTTACGTTCGGGGCCTGTAGGACTACGAAAAGATGAAAAACATCTTTGAGGACGTTTTGCTAGTCATTTCAATCTTACCCTGGAGGCTATCTTCAAAAACTAAAGACTGGCGGAATAACGAGACCAATATTGTTGGAGTGAATCACTTACGATTTGCAGACGACATTGTGACTCTGTGCTTTCTTGAAGGTTGGCAGTGGAGATGCCATCTTCCTTGCACAGGATACCAATTTCCCGAAACGGGTCGTTATTAGGAGCTTTCTAAAGTCTCGCCGCTTCCGTATAGTTTTCTATTTCGTCGCAGTATGTCCTCCACGCATCTCTTTTGTCGGACAACTTTTTTATATTGGTTGAGTTGGTACCTATAAAGGTTCCAATCCTCAGGTAGTTTGGGGTTTTTAACTTTATTGAAAGCTTTTCTTGTCGTCGCCCTGGGGTGTTCTAGTTCCTGACACCACTAAGCAGAGGTGTTACCAGAGTTTTGGAACATCCTCAGTGGGCTCGACATGTTATAGGATTTTATGATGGCACCTTGGGTGGTTTTGGCATAACGGTCCAATTCTTCCGATAGCACCCAGACCCTTAAACACCGAACTAAATTTTGCCGTCGAGGTCAAATATCTGAGAGTGACACTCGATTGCAAACTAACATAGAACTCTCATATTGCTAAAAGAATACAGAAAGCATATATCGCCTATGAACAGTGTAGCGTACTATCGGTAAGACCTGGGGGTTCTCTCATATTGGGAACATATGCACTGATAGACGACCAAAATGATACAGACTACAAACAAATCTTGGAAGATGTTAAACAGAATGTAAGAAATTCAGAGGTAAGCCAAATAATAAAATCGATAAGGCAAACAAAGCAGGGAAAACTGATAATAACGACGAAAAAAAACGCGGAAGCTATAAAGAAACTGGAATAGAAAATTAGGGGTTCGAACCAAGAAACAAACATCGGAAGTAGCGGACTAGAAGAGCCCAACCTGAAGGAAGGAGTACACATAAAAGGGATAGTCATATCT